ACCTGAGCCCCTTTCCTTGTGCATCTCCCATCAGTTCAGTTCTTTGGGTCCTCACAAAAGCAAAGACCTCTAGGGCAAAGGTGAGGTATTCTTCCTATTCTTCCTCCCCGCAAGGTGACATACAAAGAAACAGCAGACAATCCTTCACCTGTACGTGTGTGTCATGGTCCTCCAGGCCTGCTGTGTGTCGCTGCCATTTCTCTCTCACTATGAATATGTAGTGTTTTTGTGTTTGTTTCTTTAACCAGGCCTGCTGGATCAAGGATCCAGGACCTTCACCCTCCTCCTCTAACCGTGCTAGTGAACCAGCTCCCATCTGTAAGTCTGCTTTCCTGTTGTTGCCTCAAAGATTACTCATTTGTCATCTCCTCTGTGCAGCAGCCCTGGTGTTGTTTCCCCGCAGAGAGAGAGAGAGAGCGCCAGCTGTGGAGTAGTGCTGGTAGAAGTGTATCGAGGCTTCGAAACGACCTGAAACCGTCTCCACAGTGACACCTGCTGGACAATTTGGCTATCACCACATCTTGATGATAATATTGTGTGAAACAGGGACACAGTAACATTCGTGTTGCTCACAATAAATCAGTTTGTAAAGCCAGACACAGAGAGGAATGACTGCAGCGTTTCCTGTAAGAACCATGTGTTTGGGTCACTTTAAGTTTTCTGGGAGTTCATGTTATCAGGTTTGTTTAGCACACTGTCAAGCAAAGCTAGAGGCTGACATACCATTAGGTTTTGTTTTTAATGAATTAAAAATCACGCTGCTGTGGATGTTTTATCCTGTAACACTGGCATGATGTTTTACTGAGTCTGTGAACCTTCATTACTTCTGTTGTTTATGATAAATTTGCAGCAGAAGCTTTGGTGGGAATTAAAAAGGAAAAAATTAATTTGCCATGAAAACAGTTAAGAAGTAGATCACCTGTATTTAATGGATGTGTTTTTTGAAACTTTTCTTTTTACAGATTATTTTCTTTCTGGCGGTGCAGTGTGTGAGTGTCGGGTTACAGAGAGGATGACGTCACTGTTTTATTATAGAACTCCTGTTTAATTTCCTCCCTGAAAGCAGAGAGCAGGTTTTTACTGAGATACTGAAATTCTCAATAAAATTCGTTTACAGCACAGCGTTGCCTCCTCTCTCTCTCTCTGCTGATAGGAGTAAATGGAGCTCTCGCCCTGAGTGAGTACTTGGTGACATGGTGAATTCCTTCACACAGCACATTTGTCCAGGCTGACA